TTTTGTTGGTATTAAACCCTCTGCTTATTTTCATTAGATGATCCCTGTTTCTTGTGTCCTGTGAAGGAATAAATAACACTTCTTTCTAAACTGAACAGACCCACTCTGTCTCCTCAAATAGAAGCTGTCCCACATGGCTAATCACTTTCATTGCCATTGCATATACTTTTTTCCAATGGTGGTAGTCTTTTTTTCAAATGTTTTGTTGGTATTAAACCCTCTGCTTATTTTCATTAGATGATCCCTGTTTCTTGTGTCCTGTGAAGGAATAAATAACACTTCTTTCTAAACTGAACAGACCCACTCTGTCTCCTCAAATAGAAGCTGTCCCACATGGCTAATCACTTTCATTGCCATTGCATATACTTTTTTCCAATGGTGGTAGTCTTTTTTTCAAATGAGGCAACCAGAACTGGACACAGTATTCAAGGCATGGTGCACTTGTGTAATGACACTGATATTTTCTGTCTCCTCTTTCTCTTTCCTAATTCTGTCTAACATTGTTAGCCTATTTGACCACTGCTCTGCAGTGAACTGAAGTTTTCAGAGAACTATCCATGGTAGGGATGAGCAATGATTTTTTTTTTTTTTTTTTTTTGGTATGCCAAGAATTTGATAAATGGGTGACCACACTCTTCCACTATGTTAATGGAGGAGATGCAGGGTCTGGGATGGAGGTTGGGTGCAGAAGGGAGTTTGGGATAAGGGTTTGGGGTGTGGGATCTAGGAGGGAGTTTAGGTGAAGGAAGGGATTGTGACTTGGGGCAGTGGACTGAGGTACAGGAGGGGGTGCCGGGTCTGGGAGGGGTGTGTGACCTGAGGTAGAAGTACAGGGTGTTGGGTTGTGCTGTGGGACAGGGGATTGAGTGCAGAGTCTGAGAGTAGGGGGTGCAAGAGAGGCTTCTGTCCTGGGGCAGGAGTGCAGGATGCGGGGGTACAGGGATTTGGGTTGTGATCAGTGATAGCAGATCAGGGTGCAAAGTCTGGGTAGGGGTTGTGACCTGAGGGGTGTAGAAGAGGGTGCAGTGTCTGGGAAGGTGTATGGGGGCTGGAGCAGGAGTGCAGAAGGTTTGGGTTGCATGGGGTAGGCATGGAGGAGGGGGGCAGAGTAGGGCAGGAAGGGGTTTGGGTGCCAGAGACAAGCTCCAGAAGGCAGATGCTTACCTGGTCATCTCCCAGCCAGAAGCCCAGCAGGTTTCTTAGCCATGGTCTCTGCCTTCCATGCCCCTGTACGTGCTCAGAGAAGCTCTAGGGACCATGTTGACTGCTCTGAATTCAACACTATGAGCCTGCGGGATGAGGAGGGAGGGGCACTTGACATTCTGCCTGTTGTGCAAACAGGCAGCTGCTATTGTCCAGAAATGGGCCAGTGGGAGCTACTGGGGGGCAGGAGCAGTGTGAGAACCCTTCCCCCGGGCTCTCGCCATTCAGAGACTCATGCATGGTCCTGCAGCTAGCTTTTGAATGCTGAGCAGGAGTTGGGCAGGCAGGAAGCTGGCTACTTTCGCAGGCCTGATCCAACCCATGGACTCTATTTTTTCCCAGCTCTCATCCATGATGATCTTAAGGTCTTTGCATGGTAACAACTAATTTGTAACCCATAGCTCTGTGTAGCTGGGGTTTATCAGTGTTGAAATTCATCTGTCAGTTTGCTTCCCAGTGTCTCAATTTTGTGAAATTTCCCCCTTGAATTCTTCCCATTCTGCTATGTATTTAACTATCCTGTGCAAACTCACTTCATTGTTCACTCCCTTTTCCAGGCTATTGAATTAATGTTAAACAGCGCAGGTCCCAGTACAGATCTTTAGGGAAACCTGCTGCTTACCTCTCTCTCCATTGTGAAAACTGCCCATTTATTCCTACCACTTGTCTTCTATCTTTTAACCAGTTACTGATCCATGAGAGGACACTCGTTTGCCCCGTAACTACATTAGTTTTCCTTTAGAACCTTTGAAAGGACTGCATTATCTAAAGCTTTCTGAAAATCCAAATACGCTGCATCAAGTGGATCACCCATGTACGCATTTGTTGATGCCCTTTAAAAATGCTAGTCGCTTGGTGTAGCTTGTAGTAATATCTGGTTTTCAAATGCGGCAATGAGACTCTTTGCTTTGGCTTCTCCCCAACAAATCCATGTTTATCTGTGACTGATTGAATTCAAACTAATCTTTCAGATGTTTGTAGACTCACTCTTGCCCCATGTAATTTCCTTCCCAGGGCTGCATGAATAATGTGGAGAGCTGGTTACAGGACAACCTTGGCATCATCCTTGGAGTGTGCACAGGTGTTGCTGTCATTGAGGTGAGTCTCTCCAATGCCCTGCACTTGCAAACCTAAATTGCGGGTCACTTCAGGCACCAGAGCTCTGGCTGGGGTTGAGTCACAGCTCTGCTGCCCATTGGGCTGGGTTCAAAGCTCCAGCAGCCAACAAGAGCACTCATTGGGTCACTTCATGCACCAGAGCTCTGGCTGGGGTTGTCACAGCTCTGCTGCCCATTGGGGTTGAGTCACAGCTCCAGCAGCCAACAAGAGCACTCATTGAAATAGAGAATGTTCAGTAGCTGTAGGTTGGATTTGCCTTCCAATCAGTAACCAAGTACTCACTTCTGTTCTGAGTGAGTCTCTTGTCTGTGGTCTTGCCAGCGTATCTGGCAGATGGGAATCCCTTCTGTCCATAATAAGAAGAAAGTGGGTAATCTCAGCTAGTGATACCTGTATAAGACTAAAGCAGACTGGTAAAGATTTTAAGATGTTGATTCTGCAGCACTGTGCTTTAGCCTCATGCTGGCTGTTCACAGCCCATTGTGGCAGCGGGAGCAGCTGTGTCTGCCTGCCTTGCACTTTGATCACCTGAGTTACTATAATATGCGTGTTTTTTTTTTTCCCTTTTGAGCCTACCTGTTTTCTGACACACTTACCTCTTCCCGTACCTGTTTTCAGCTGCTGGGGATGGTGCTGGCCATTTCGCTCTGCAAGAACATTCACAGAGAAGACTACACCAAAGTGCCCAAGTAACATGTCTTCTAGAGCAACTTCAACACAGAGGCGAAAACTGAACATTTCTGCCTCATCCCCCTCAGACTGTCCCATCACACTGACCATTACTTCAGTGAAATCCCATTTCTCTCAACCCTGAGGAACTGTAGGAACCACCAATATAACATCAATCTTCTGGTGACTGGGGTCCTGGGCAGCCCCTCTACTGTCTCTGGATAGTTCCTACTATGTGAAACGAGCCACTTTTTTTTTTTTTTTTTAAATCGGGTGATGCCCTGATCAACCTGACTGGGTGCAAAGTTTCCACTGCTAACTCCATGTTATTTCATTCCCTTCCAGTCCATCAGGTCTAAGGTGGAATAACCCTCTTCCCTGAGCCACCCCTCTCTTCACTGCATGAGCTGGGAATCCAGTGAACCAGCGAGAAGACTGAGGGCTTGGCCTACTGGTGGTGGTGATGCGTCACCCTTGGGTGTGCATTGTGGGTGAAAGAATATTTCCATTCCAATTTCTCTCCCTTTGTCTTCTCCCTGCCCCTATCCAACTCTGCCTAAACCTTGTATGCCCAGATTCAATCTGGCTCCCCAAAAATCATTCCTCCTATTTTTGAAGTTAACCAAACACTGCCTTCCATGGAGCCCCATTCTCTTCTCATTAGATAGGCAATTAGCTCCTTCCAGGAGGTTTCTAAGCCCATCCATTCCATGAGTGGCCAATCCAGCACCTCAGATGTGGCTGCTGAGCTGCTCTTGGAACAGATGCAGGTGGGCTTTGGGCTTCACTAATTGCATAGCCCATTCTTCCCTCCCTAGTCCTCCCTTTCACTGGCTCTTGTTGGCTCAGTGGCACTTTAGAGACTGAATACTTCAGGTGTCTGTGGGCTGAGCCCAGACCGGCTCTGCTGGGCATGTTCTTGGGTTACCAGCTTTTAGAGAGGTGATGGACGAACTGTTTTTTTGTCTTGTTTTTGTGTTTTCCAGTATGTAATCGGCAATTGTTAATTCCTTGCTCTTTTTTTAATCATAAGACACCGGCATCCATGTCTTAATTGGTGGCCAGGGAAGCACCACTAGCCCTGGAGTCCTGGTCATAGGGCATAAGATGGATATGCTTGTCTGTATTTGGATTACTGACTAGGTGCCTGGAATCACTGTTTTTAGCTTTTGGATTATGGGTTTTGGTAAGGGGAGTCACTACAGTGGATATCCCAATAGGTGGATTTGCACAACAGCTGATGGCTGGATTGCTGGCTCCAGGCTCCATTCTGGGTGAGGAAATGGGATGGTTTGGTGCCTGGACTTCTGGTTGTCTGCAGTGACAAGGTTGCTGCTGACTGAGACCTAGGAAAGAAGGAGTTACTGCTTGCAGTACTTGGGAGTACGAGCTTCCATTCGCTCTCCTGTTTAGGCCTAACTCGAACTCCCTGAAACTGCCAGCTTGTGACTACAGCTCTGGTCTTGCATACTGCCCTCTTGAAAACTCAATTAAGGCTGGGGTGTTCATGCTCCTGATGCTTGTGCTGTCCAATTATGGGGGGTCATAAAGAGACAGGTGTGGCCTACCAAACTCCAACATGTTGGCATCTCTCTAACCCAGGAGAATGGTTGTGCTCCCTATGGCCAGCAACAGCTCCAAAGTACCTTGGGTGAAGAATTCCCGCCTCCCCCTCCTCCTGAAAGGAGCAGTCCTGGAGTCCAGTCTTTCACTGGCATAGGAGGCTTGGGAAAGGGTGGCCCCACAGTGGTGAATGAAAATCATTGCTCTTGTGGAAGATGGGTGCTGTTTTTACTTGCTATTCTAGCTGTGGAATGTGATTTTTAGATCCTTGGCACAGGTGCCTGGTGGGTGAGTTGGCCTTCAGTGTGAATGTGTGCCATGAGTCAGGGAAACAGGAAGTCCTCTGCACTGGCTCTTCAGGCATATATTCTGACTAAAGGGGTAGGTGGCTGACTAGCTGCTTTACTCTCTTCCAAGGGGGCAATAGTGCAAAAGCCTCCAGGGAATTGGTACACACCAGTGAGCAAAAGACTGAATGGTCCATGGAAACTGCACTTCCCTTTCACCCTAGATGTCTTTTCACAAAGAAAAAGACAAATCTATCAGCAGCCAGCACTGGAGGAACTTTGTGAAAAGACAAATCTATCAGCAGCCAGCACTGGAGGAAAATTGCCATTGCATTCTTAGGGAGTCTCTCCTGAACCCCCTCTGCTGTACACACTCCTTCATTCTGAGTCTTATGGGGGAGGCACCATTTTATTCTGAGGTAAAACTATCATTTTCCCTTATCAGTTGTAATAACCGTTTTTTCCCTTGAGGTGTGTTGTTTGTGTGGCTCTCGTTCTCCAGTTCAGATGCCAGTGCTGGGTAGAAAGGAAATGGAGTCCCTGCTGCACTTTTCTATGTCCGTCTTTTTTTTTTAGGTACCTCTTCCTACTGGAAGAAACGCATGTACAGATCTAAAACATAGATGGTATTTCTGTAATAAAGAGATTTGCTTAAAAAAACCCACCGCCCAAGCCTTGTGCATTGTGATGTTTTGCTCTGTCCTCTGTCTTGTTTAAAAAAAAAAATAGAACCTCCTTGTGATGGTCCCACCCTAAGGGGACTTGGTGATGTGGTAAGAAGCACCCAGTGCTGACCTCTAATAGGACAAGAGGCCTACCTGTGAGACCTGGTGTAGTATTGTGGAGACCTCTCCTCCCATTGTGTGGGAATTTTGGGTGAGAGGTGCTTTGTGTTCTCTAGAAATGTAGGTAACTTTTACTCCTGCTCCCTGCCTACACATGTAGTAGTACATCTTATTTTCAAGGCAGTTACTGTATTGAGGGCTAAATTAAACTTTGGGGCTGGGTGTACTTGAATAAGATCCACTTAGTTTAGCCCAGGGTGCCATTTGTATTTTGATTACTTTTAAAACACATGTTATAATGCCTACCACGAATGTGTGCTTTTGGTTACTGCTCTTAGCCTTAGCACACTATGCCCACAACAAACATGGAGTACTGAATGTTTCCTTCTCACCCAGGCACCCTGTGTAACCCTAGATTTCCCAGGATGTCTTCCTGTGCCCCCTTCCTCATAGGAGCCAACTCTGTGCTCTGGTGCTGGAGCAGCCACCTACAACCTTGCAGATTAGTACCTTCCACCCACCTGCCAGCCAACTGTTTCCCACCTACCATAGATCAGCTGTTTGGTGTTGTGGGGGGTGGAATGGGATTAGGAAGAGGTGGCAGGTTTGTTACCTTCCACCCACCAGCCAGCCAACTCTGTTTCCCACCTACCATAGATCATCTGTTTGGTGTTGTGGGGGTTGGGATGGGATTAGGAAGAGGTGGCAGGTTTGAGAGTGGGGGAAGAAGCAAGTGGTGAGCCAGCCCTCAAAGAATTGAGGAAGTTGGCATCTATGTCCCTATTGCTACACTTCATGCTTTGAGTATGATCTTTAACTAATGGAGACCTCGAGGAGGGTGAGAAGTGGATGCAGCTATATTTGTTGTGGGCTGTTGAGAGCATTCTTGTGACTATAGAAAATCAGCAGAGCCATCAGTATGATTAACAGTATGGGGGGGAAGGGGGGTTACCTGTCTGCAGACCACTCTGCCTTGGATAATCTGAGTTCTGGCAAGATGTAATTAAGTATGTGGTTATGAGCTGCAGGTGTGGAACCTGATGATTAGTCTACCAAAGTATGCAGTTATGAGCTGCAGGTGTGGAACCTGATGATTAGTCTACCAGACCCCACTGTGCTAACCTATCCCTTTCCCCACAGCATAAACTAACCCCAAGTGAAGTGACTCACCCACAGTCATTGTGATTCCTGGCTCTGCCACCAGCTGGAAGCCAAGAGTCCTGATTCCCACTCTGCATCTTGTAACATACAGAGGCAATGTGGTTGGAAATCAAACTACTGAATAAGAAAGGTCTACTTTAGTTGGGCAAGGAGCGAGATATGCTGTGTTCCAGCCACTACTCTTGGGTGGGAGGAGACTGAGAAGGTAGCTGGCTGCCCCTGCTACTCTTGGGGTAATCTGCTATTATGCAATACGCATACAGAAGACACTGCTGGAGGGAGGAAGAGGGGTTAGGGCAGAGGTGGGCAATCATTTTTGAAGAGGCTGCTCTGAGAATTTGGGAAACAATCAAGAGCTGCACTCCTCTGATCCTAATGGAGGAGAGGGTGTGTGTGTGTGGGGGGGGGGTCGATCTGGAATAGAGTTTGGGTGCTAAAAGGAACTTTGGGTAGCGGATTGGGTGTAGGTGCGGATGTAGGGTCTGGGAGGGAGTTTGGATGAAAGTGGGCTGTGATCTAGGGCAAGGAGTGCAGGGTTTGGGAGCAGTGTTCTTTTTTCTTCTATCCATGTGTGGAACAAATTTTATGATCACAAGGCCTGTGTGGCTGTGCACCACCAGTAGAAACCCATCTTGTGGCTGCTGCCAGCTGTGGGCACTCTGCTAATCAGCTGTGTGGCTGCCCAAGTGCTCATCTTAGAGGAAACAGTCTGGGAGGGGTTTTAAGTGCAGCAGCAGTGGTGCAGAGGGTTTGGGTTGTGACCTGGGGCAGGGGTGCAGGAGGGGTGTGGATAGTTGCGGGGCAGGGGGAGAGAGGAGGAAGGGAGATGCTGACCAGGATGTGCTTACCTTAAGTAGCTATTGGCCAGCACCTCAGCAGTACACCCAGCTCAAAGTGGCTGGCTGCAGGTAAGGTTGCCAGGTGTCCAGTTTTCACCCAGACAGGCCAGTAATTACGTCTTCTGTTTAGTTTAAAAAAAAAAAAATTGGACATGTAAAATGTCCGGTATTTTCTGCTACCAGTAATTACGTCTTCTGTTTAGTTTTTTAAAAAAAAAACTGGACATGTAAAATGTCCGGTATTTTCTGCTTTGCTTAGCTGGAAGGCCGGTGCAGACATTTTTCCCCTACCTCGTCAGGCGGGGGGGGAGCGGGGAGCATGGGAATTTAAAGGTGCAGCTTTTTTTTTTCTTCTGCCATGTTCGGGATTTTTTTGTGAAGGTATCTGGCAACTCTAGCTGCAGGGACTTCACCCGTCTTTGCATGCTCATTGGAGCATGGGGGCCTCTGCACTGCCTGCACCACAAGTATAGCCCAGGCAGCTCTCCTTGGCCAGTTTGCAAGGAACATTGTGCACAGGATTTCCCCAGGAGTACACTGCTTAGGGCCCATTTCCCCTGTTGGCTATATGCAGAATGAACTGAAAGCTGTTGATGTTACCCTCCATTTGACCACTAGAGGG